CAGTGGTGACAAGATTTTGCTCATTATGATAATAGTGATGACAGCAGTTAGCTCCAGAAGTTATTATTATGTAAATTAATTTTTGTTAAAAAAACATCAAGAGATTCGTTGCACTTACAGTTATCATCAGCCGCACAGTTTATAATCTCTAGACTTTTATTATTTATCATATATTCTTCTATGGCTTTCTGTAAGTAGTATCCTTCGTATTCGCCAATTCTTGAATATATCACTCTTACCAGAGCGGTTACTATATCCCCTGTTGTCAGTGTAGTTTTGCTATTAAAAAAAATACATCAACGATTTAATTATTGGTGCTAGTACAAAAATACATCGGATGTTAGCCAGTCAACTGGCTTGTGTACGACTTTCAAAAATGGCGGTAGTTCACGACCGTCAATATGATGGATGTACCGGCTGAGTTGCTCAGTTGTCGAAATATGTTCGCAGTAAGTTCATCGGTCGGTTTAAAGGGGTTTTGCAAAATTACCTTAGTGAATGTAACTCTGTAGAAATGTATTTCGATTTTTTCGTATCTTGTGGTTTGATCTTTGAAATTCAAGAAAAATATACAAGTAAATTAGAAATGATTGTCAATATTGCGTGCATTGGTTGACTGCTTGGTTTGGGAAGCATTTTTACCACTTATAATATAGCGTTTTTATTATTTTGGTGAATGATAATTAACAATTAGACCTCGAGGTCGAGTGGACTACGAGCTAATAGCCCATGAGGCCGAGTCCGCGAGGCCGAATGGGCGATTAGCTCGTAGTCCACGAGGCCGAGAGGTCTAATTGTTTTAGTATAAACATACTAATCGGTCAAATAATGAAAACAAATTGAAATAATTTATAATATATAATTTATTTATATTGATTTTCCCGCAAGTGGTATATCACAAATTAAACCATTAGTAGAGTAGCCAATCACAGCGCAGYATGAGTGATAGACCATTAATATGTTTATACTAATGCACGTTATATTGTTGCTACATATTGACCAATGATCGTGCGCGTTATATTGGCACTATATCATAAAATATGAGTTCCTTACAGCGGTCTCGAGCTCTTTCTTCAACTCAAGATACCAATTGCTATTTTTGGTTCCATAATCGTCTGTCCAAGGTTTTCCAGGAATATTTAAAAGCAAATCCAGGGTCGTATTTCCTCCATTATCTAAAATATAATCGATCACAGAATAATAAAACAATAGCCAGTGAAAACATTGATGAAATCACAAGAAAATTCACTTTGTGATTCAAAGGAAATAGTATCACCATCACGAAGAATGGGAATTATTTGCAGGACGTTGAATTCAATTATTATAGCACTAAAGCTCAAGCCTACTACTCCAGCCGAAGAAGTCTTGGCGAAGTAAGGAAAATTGATAGATAACTTGGAGTGGTCTTTGGGGCATCTTTAAGGAGTCTTGAGGTGACTTCCTTCTTGGTCCGGAAGTAGGGCAGAAACTACTTAGGGCCTAAACTCCTCTACACAATACATCCTTACATTGGGCTCCATTAGAATATTGTTATTAAGGATATTGTTAATTATTATTAATTAGAATGTTAAAAATAATAGTATACGTTCTTAAGACTATCCACTTGCCTATCATCAAGTCCCACACTCGTTCTAATGAGCCTTTTAAGGGAAGAACAGAGTTCCATATCCCTAGTACGCCGTAGAATGTCCATAAATCTGAATAGCTACCCAAATAGTACTTCTGCGCTAAACCTCCATTTACCACTGTGCTTTTGCATTCGTAGCTCTTTGGGTTTGTTTGGGGAGAAGCATCTTGATAGACTTGGAGTTTTTCGYTTGTGGGATCCCATGTAAACGCCAAGTATTGCCAACGATATCTCTGGAGGAAAAGCTTACAGGAACAGCTTTTGTTTTGACCATTTATGTACACGAAAAGTCTAAAGTTCCGATATAGAACTTGCACTCCTGGACAAACAGCTTTGGGAAAACAACCAATGATAATATGATCAGAAAATGTTAAAAACTCAGTGATGTTTCAGTGTATAATGTGTGTTTCGCTAATGACGTCATGTTGTTTGTGCGAAGTGCATCATGGTCTATATAAATATATCAAGATGGCGGATTTGCAACATTTATCGTTTTYAATTGTCGAAAATGCTTTGAAAAACAGTAAATAAGATAGCACTGCACTACTAGAGTATAATTTAAGATCAGTTTGAGAAATAGGTTTTAATATGTTAGCCCGAAACAACAAGACAACATGACTTGATTATGCCATTGTGCATCTCGGCCTATGTTGCATGACGTCAATAGAATCTAGCCTCCTTCGCAGGCTGCTCCTCAAGGAAACGGAGKTTTTCTCTCCTTGCTCTGGTGCCGAGAGATTAGGAACAGCGCTTCCCCCTCTGGTTGATTTTCTGTCCTAACACAGGTATCCCGCGGAATAGAGTTGCATGCGTAGGAGGCTAAAAAAACATCATTTCATGAACAAATGAAAGAGTGAAGTCTCGACTTTTATACCTCCTACAACTCCACAAGGTCCAAAAATCTCATTGTTTGAAAAACCATCACCAATTTTAATCACCATAGCTACTGTGAGACCGCTGGAACATGTAAATGGRTCTTGCAGGCACGACATATTACCAAGCGTAATGTTTAAATCAACTCTTGACTTGGAATCTCGAATAGAAATGGCTTGGTCGCCAATGGGCGATAAAGTGGTTGTCAGATTTCCTGTTATCGATATCTGATTGTCTGTTTTTTCGTCCTTGAAAGGCTGTTCTTCAAAGTTCCAAAAATGGTCGGCTTTCTGTTGTAAATTTTCGAGGTCTGCTATGACTGCGAGAAAGGAAAATATAAAGGATGGTTTAACTTTTGAAAAAAAATCCATCCACTGCGTKTACATGCTCTGATAGATTTGCCAATCTCAATCCCACATGACTTAGTGGTTTGCAATGCATTGTGGGCTCAGTTTTGCGAGAAAACAAAAACAACAAAAATCCGCCATGTTTTGTCCCAAACATATCCCATAATTATTGTACTGAACTGTCAGGTGTAGTTCTAATAAGTTCTTACTTTCGTTGGTTGTCAGAGCTTGGGATTCCATGACAGTGACCTGATTAGGAAACAGAATAATAGTTAGAATCATAGAATAATCATATAAATATTTATTTGGCCATTTGAAATTAGCCCCTATTTCTATGTTTGACTTACCATACAAGTGCCATATAAAAGTAGTACGCTCGACACTATTGGTTGACTCATTTTTGGATCATCCAGCGCATGCGCAAAACCTGATGAAAATAAAAGACTATATAACAAGATTTTGTTAAGAAACTYTCCGGCGTGTCAGACACCGGCGGACACGAAACGCATGGCGGAGATGTTAATGGTTGCTCTCTGCAACCCTACTGGGTCGCAATCCGTGGTTCTGGTCAGCTATTTTCGGGTCGAACATTGCCTGTATCGAGTCGTATTAGTTGATATGAAACTCACACAATTACTCCAGCTTGTCGATCGCCAAATGACAAAAAAAGATGTGAAGATGTTTCAATCACATTCCTTCAACTGTACTTAGATATTCAATAACTTTGCATAGTAGTTTAGGTGAAAACTGTTTTTAAAATTAATGGATGCTAAAATAAGTGCCATAGGGTTACAGTTACAAAGAATTTGAGGAAGGAGCGTGCTGGGTGTGATGAGACTGATGATGTTACTATACTAAAGTGAGATTTTACAACCTAAAAAATCAAACAATCCGTATATTTTCGGCATTGAGAAAGTTTAGCGTGTATACTTAACACTTTAAGATCGATCGTTCGATTAAAAGTGTCAATTTAATGAGTCTTTGGTATAAAATGTTTCAATTATCGGTACATTTTAGAATAAGCAGTCCTATGATATGACTTACACCTGAATTTGACAAGCAAAGAACTGTGAAAATAATCTTTCTTTTTAGATGTAAAACCTTATTTATTTTTGCTCAGGTTTCGTGTTGTATTTTTAATCATTAATTTTGCTATTGGAATTGCTTTCAANTTTTGACCAATATTGAAATATTTCATTTCATAATCTCATAGAAAGTCTTTATGTTCACTCATTTTGCAATTTCCATCGTCCGTAAGAAAAACGTTGTGCACGGTCTTGACTGATTCAACCTCAAAATACGTACAAAAGATGTACAAAAGAAGTACAACAAAAGGTTTCCAAACCATTCGCCTCTATTAACTTTGCTTGGAGTGGTCTTTGGGGCATCTTTAAGGARTCTTGAGGTGACTTCCTTCTTGGTCCGGAAGTAGGGCAGAAACTACTTAGGGCCTAAACTCCTCTACACAATACATCCTTAYATTGGGCTCCATTAGAATATTGTTATTAAGGATATTGTTAATTATTATTAATTAGAATGTTAAAAATAATAGTATACGTTCTTAAGACTATCCACTTGCCTATCATCAAGTCCCACACTCGTTCTAATGAGCCTTTTAAGGGAAGAACAGAGTTCCATATCCCTAGTACGCCGTAGAATGTCCATAARTCTGAATAGCTACCCAAATAGTACTTCTGCGCTRAACCTCCATTTASCACTGTGCTTTTGCATTCGTAGCTCTTTGGGTTTGTTTGGGGAGAAGCATCTTGATAGACTTGGAGTTTTTCGYTTGTGGGATCCCATGTAAACGCCAAGTATTGCCAACGATATCTCTGGAGGAAAAGCTTACAGGAACAGCTTTTKTTTTGACCATTTATGTACACGAAAAGTCTAAAKTTCCGATATAGAACTTGCACTCCTGGACAAACAGCTTTGGGMAAACAACCAATGATAATATGATCAGAAAATGTTAAAAACTCAGTGATGTTTCAGTGTATAATGTGTGTTTCGCTAATGACGTCATGTTGTTTGTGCGAAGTGCATCATGGTCTATATAAATATATCAAGATGGCGGATTTGCAACATTTATCGTTTTYAATTGTCGAAAATGCTTTGAAAAACAGTAAATAAGATAGCACTGCACTACTAGAGTATAATTTAAGATCAGTTTGAGAAATAGGTTTTAATATGTTAGCCCGAAACAACAAGACAACATGACTTGATTATGCCATTGTGCATCTCGGCCTATGTTGCATGACGTCAATAGAATCTAGCCTCCTTCGCAGGCTGCTCCTCAAGGAAACGGAGKTTTTCTCTCCTTGCTCTGGTGCCGAGAGATTAGGAACAGCGCTTCCCCCTCTGGTTGATTTTCTGTCCTAACACAGGTATCCCGCGGAATAGAGTTGCATGCGTAGGAGGCTAAAAAAACATCATTTCATGAACAAATGAAAGAGTGAAGTCTCGACTTTTATACCTCCTACAACTCCACAAGGTCCAAAAATCTCATTGTTTGAAAAACCATCACCAATTTTAATCACCATAGCTACTGTGAGACCGCTGGAACATGTAAATGGRTCTTGCAGGCACGACATATTACCAAGCGTAATGTTTAAATCAACTCTTGACTTGGAATCTCGAATAGAAATGGCTTGGTCGCCAATGGGCGATAAAGTGGTTGTCAGATTTCCTGTTATCGATATCTGATTGTCTGTTTTTTCGTCCTTGAAAGGCTGTTCTTCAAAGTTCCAAAAATGGTCGGCTTTCTGTTGTAAATTTTCGAGGTCTGCTATGACTGCGAGAAAGGAAAATATAAAGGATGGTTTAACTTTTGAAAAAAAATCCATCCACTGCGTGTACATGCTCTGATAGATTTGCCAATCTCAATCCCACATGACTTAGTGGTTTGCAATGCATTGTGGGCTCAGTTTTGCGAGAAAACAAAAACAACAAAAATCCGCCATGTTTTGTCCCAAACATATCCCATAATTATTGTACTGAACTGTCAGGTGTAGTTCTAACAAGTTCTTACTTTCGTTTGTTGTCAGAGCTTGGGATTCCATGACAGTGACCTGATTAGGAAACAGAATAATAGTTAGAATCATAGAATAATCATATAAATATTTATTTGGCCATTTGAAATTAGCCCCTATTTCTATGTTTGACTTACCATACAAGTGCCATATAAAAGTAGTACGCTCGATACTATTGGTTGACCCATTTTTGTATCCTCCAGCGCATGCGCAAAACCTGATGAAAATAAAAGACTATATAACAAGATTTTGTTAAGAAACTYTCCGGCGTGTCAGACACCGGCGGACACGAAACGCATGGCGGAGATGTTAATGGTTGCTCTCTGCAACCCTACTGGGTCGCAATCCGTGGTTCTGGTCGGCTATTTTCGGGTCGAACATTGCCTGTATCGAGTCGTATTAGTTGATATGAAACTCACACAATTACTCCAGCTTGTCGCCAAATGACAAAAAAAGATGTGAAGATGTTTCAATCACATTCCTTCAACTGTACTTAGATATTCAATAACTTTGCATAGTAGTTTAGGTGAAAACTGTTTTTAAAATTAATGRATGCTAAAATAAGTGCCATAGGGTTACAGTTACAAAGAATTTGAGGAAGGAGCGTGCTGGGTGTGATGAGACTGATGATGTTACTATACTAAAATGAGATTTTACAACCTAAAAAATCAAACAATCCGTATATTTTCGGCATTGAGAAAGTTYAGCGTGTATACTTAACACTTTMAGATCGATCGTTCGATTAAAAGTGTCAATTTAATGAGTCTTTGGTATAAAATGTTTCAATTATCGGTACATTTTAGAATAAGCAGTCCTATGATATGACTTACACCTGAATTTGACAAGCAAAGAACTGTGAAAATAATCTTTCTTTTTAGATGTAAAACCTTATTTATTTTTGCTCAGGTTTCGTGTYGTATTTTTAATCATTAATTTTGCTATTGGAATTGCTTTCAAAAGCACGCCATATGAAGCCATGGTCAGAGAACAATATGAGCTCTCTAAAACCATTAAAAAAAAACATTTCACATACGAAAAATAAGAAGAAACGATAAACTGTTATTACGACGTCGCATTTATTTGACTTTTTAGGAGCTCATTGCAAACAAGAGTAACTTTTCTGTTTTTGTTCTCACTTTGTTTTGAATGCGTAAAATCGAAACTTGAAAACAACGTATGTTTTGCTTKCAGAAAACCTAAGAGTTCAAGAGAGAAAACTTGAAAAAATCATAAACTATCTAGGACTTTTTCCTTTTTTTCAGTCGCCGATAAACTTTTTCAACAGTCATTTAACAAAAAAAGTATTTGGTTTTAATACTAGTTATAGAGGTCTTTCAGTAGACCACAATAACATTAGTCCATTAATTATAATCTATCTGTTTAAAGTGAGTTATTCTGAAGAGAATTAAAATGAGAATTTAGCTCTGAAAGAGACGTTTTTGAATAAAATTAAAAACTTCCATACTGAATTAAAAGATCTTTATGAATACATATATAGAGGATATTACATGGGCGCGCGGAGATACGGATTTTATCTTCGAGTGTTGAAAAGATCTCAGGAGTGAACGTAGCGAATTTCATTCTGTTTCTTGATCACATAGAGAAACCTCAAATGTGTTATTTTTTACTAGTGAACTGAACTATGAACTTTACGAAATATAGGTATTACATGGATAATTATATGATAAATTCAAATATTTGATTARAATTGAGCGTTTCTCTCTCACTCCTTTCTAAGCTTTGAAACTCTAAGATTATAGTTTATCTCRTTACGTAACTTACCGAATCAACACTATTTACTTAAAGTACTTTCAAAAGTCTGTAAGTTCTTGCTTGAGGGCTCTCACTTGTCAGTCACATCCCACACAGCCTGTTTCGCTGTTTTGTTAACTAAAAGTTTTTTTTTTCAATGTTTTCTATGAAGGATGTTAATATTATGRAATCAAAATAGAACTTCCTTGAGGTTAACAAGACAAAATAGCATCGCCGTGTTTACTTTCTCTCAAGTCAGGCACTTAACTTTATTATTCATGTTAATAGAAGCGAATTCTAAAACTTTGTTTGTCTAGTTTAATTGCTCCAGCGGACCGCTGTGTTATCTCCATGGAAACGCTTTGTCGAGCAAAGTCATGCAAAACGTTTGCTCGATRTAATTAGCTTTGGCTGGAGCTGGTCAACCTTATAGAGCCCAAACGTCCATTAGAAGCTTGCAAAAGTAAAGAAACACCGTGTAAAAGTTCTTGAAAACGGCAGTTATTCACTAATTTGGTGAAGAATAAAGAGTTTGTGTGCTAATTAATTGTCMCTAGTCTACTAACAGGTGAGTATACACTATATATTAATTATTCCGAGTGTTAATTGTGTCATATTGTGATACCACGCACTTAGCATGAGTAAATATTGAGACTATTTATCAGGTAACTACGACGGCGAATAGCAAAATTATRCTTTAGAAGCCGTTCACTTTTGTTATGTTGTACGTGTTACCTCAAATGTTATTAACACAAATCAAGATATACAAACTTCACTAGCTTTTTGCAAAGCAATATAAAGTATCATTGTACGGAACTACCTGCTAAATTATTAAACTTTGTAAATAATTCGACTAAAATGTCTACGTTTGTTTCCACATATCATATTGAATGCAAAACAGTAATGTATTATTAACATATAACAACATTTATTCATAGTTGACGTTGGTTCTTCACGCTAAAATCTATAGGAACCAGTGTACTAGTCCAATGACTTTGATGGATTATTTAGGCWAAAAATTCAATTTGTATTAAATTATTATTGAAGTATTACGCCCAATAAAGAAAGTTCCATATTTTTTATTTTTTCATGATCGCATGTTTTSTATTTCTGCCACGTCTATATTTAGATGTAATAAAAGCCTTTRAAAGAATTATAAACATATAAATATTAAAAGAATAGTGACGGAAAACGAGACTTGGTCTTCCTCTAGCGACATAGCCGCCGTTGGATGAAGTAATTTTTGCTCTTTATTTCTCGCCAGAATCAAAAATTGATAAACTTTGAGTTTGGCCCCACCACATTTTCTTCAACTAAACAGAGTTAAAAATAGGAAAAGGCTTAATATATAGCAATTTAGAAGTAAAAAAAAGCATCAATTTCTCTGTACAGGTACCACCGAGATCTATTAATAGCTCATGATGTCATCAGTGGTTGAGTCAACCCTCAAACGTATCCAGCAACACAAAGGTGTTCATGGGATAATTGTTGTCAACTCTGAAGGAATTCCAATACGATCTGATATGGACAACACCACGACGCAGACCTACGCGAACTCGTGCCAACAACTCGTATCTATCGCGCGTAGYACAGTGAGAGACATTGATCCACTCAATGACTTGTCGATTCTCCGAGTTCGCTCCAAGAAGTATGAAATAATGATCGCACCTTGTGAGGAATATCTCCTTATTGTGGTCCAAAATGACTCTGAGTGATTGTGTTATAATGAAAACGCTATATTTTATTATTGTAAACGCTTTTAAAACTTCAGTAATCGTGAGTGTACATCAAATTGAAGAAAGGTTGTCACATTTGAACTTGATGTAACCTATTAGCTGTCCCCTTCCCTTTGCTCCTCTGTTTGTTTTGTAGTCTTCGGCGACAAAATTTAAAGCGGGGCAAAGAATAGGGGCCAGMCACTGGACTAGATGTAACCTCAAAAGTGTTTTTTTTTTCTGTCGATTGTCAAATGAAAAAACTTTGCGTTTGTGTTAGCTGACAAAACAAACTGAAAGCCTCCTTTTTCACGCTTTTGGTGTYTGCACTCTAGCCATTCTAACTCTAAAAACCGTGAACAAAATACTAGCCAGTAATACAATAATATTCTGGTAAAAGTGATTCACGTATATCATTTCATTGGTTAATATAGCGCGGCAGTCTGCTATCTTCAATACTTACATTAGTAGATTCTAAAATGCGATCACAKTTCTTCAATTTTACAAATATCTTGTATTTTGCTGTCGCCGTATTGCAAGAGCGTTTTACTGTGTGTGCATGGGAAATTTTCTAGTACCCAWATAAATTAAAAATAAGGTTTGAAAGTTTGAAATAAAAATGTGCAGGTAGATAATGGTAAACTATATSGTATAAATTTGGTTATAAATGGAGTCTATTGTTTGTCTATTTCTATTGGTAAGGCACACATCGGTAAAATTGTTGAGTGTTTTGTTTATTAAATTCAGTCAAGATTCACACAAGAGAACAAAAAAAAAATATGTGGGGACTAGCGGTAAATTATAGCTAGTGTGAGCTGCGTTCTTGTTTCTAAAGAAACAGTTTTTGTCAGTAAAAAGAAAAATTTAAAACCGTAAAAAAGTAGGTGAAATAACTTACTGACGTTTCGGACGTTAATCCTTCCGTCTCTTTAATTTACTCCGACGAAGGATTAATGTCCAAAACGTCAGTAAGTTATTTCAACTTCTTTTTTTAAGGTAAATTTATCTCAGTTTTTACAAAACAAAAATTTGTGTTGATTGGCGCATTTCAAGAGCCCCATTCACCATGCCAAAACAACAACATCAAACAAGATGTGCAAAATGTTGCATATTGCATGGGTAAGGATCCGATATTTCTCGTGAAAAAGTTGAATAATCTCAAGTGCATGGTTAACATCAATTAAACAAACAATGATATTCAATTTATTAAGAAAATCTCTTTATATCATAAAAGTCAAAACTACAAAATTGGAATATTGGTTCCTCTAATTAGTTGACGATAATAATAGCAAGAATCTGATAATGCCGGAGA